ATCCAGGTATATATTGGCATCACTTCATAGATGGGGGTGCCAATATGCTACATACAGAATCTTCAATTCGGGAATAAACGGCATCCAACCGAAATTATTCCGAACATCTATTTGATCCAAATTGAGCTCACTTCTAATTTTGGAGTCAGATATCGATTTATCACTTGCAAAAGTAAGTTGAAGCAGTACTGAGGCTTACTGAGGTGAGAGGAATCAGGTCATCCTGGTATATATTAGTATCACTTCATAGATGGGGGTGCCAATCACGTACGGTAGTTAGATATTAGGTTTTACAGATGGGCTTTGAGTCACACCCGTCATGGTCACCGTGCAAAGCGTTGATAATTGATCATTTCAGGGACTGAGTGTAAATACGGACAGGAGGACATGAATTCTTGGAGATAGCAAATAAGTGAGTACCAATCCTTGAAGTTGATGGCAAGAAGCCTGGGCTCTTTGTATATATACACGCCTGATCACTAAACTCACTATATAGTGCTGCAGTGCTACTTTCTATACTCTCTATTACTAGGCTGTCCATTCCACATGCAGCGGTAGGTACGAGGAAATGGAGGATTGCCCGACCGTCTGGATAGCAGTCTGTTGCCGGCCGATATTGCCGGACAAACTCCCACGATCTTTTTTGCAACGTTCGTCGATTCATCGTTTGAAGTTCCCGTGGCTTCATCCACCTCAATCTCCTTCAAATTTTCATTTCAATTCGTTCTATTATGTGCAGAAAGTGCCCTATCGTGTTCCTATCATCACTGTTATAGAGAATACTTCCTTACCGCGTACTTACGGGCCCCAGAAACGACAAAAAATACATCGTAAGAAGGCATGGCCCAAGAGACTTCTAGATTTTTAGCATGCTTTCCGTTGCCGTTTGGTGGTCGTTCGTTAAGTACTGTCTCAAGATATTCGAGCTCTCTTTCTCTCTCTTTCTCTCTCTCTCTCTCTCCATCAGGAAACTTGGGAAAAACCAGCGCCTAATGGCTCGGTAACGAATTTTGGTTATTCCTATGGAATGACACAGGGATATCCTATTTATTTTTTGAGAATCTGGTTTATATGATCTGTTACCCTCCCATGACAAATAACTGGGGCCACCTATACAGTCTGTGTTGAGATAATGTCTGTGCAAATTTTGCTAGGGAAATGTACATAAACTATAATTAGCTATAGACAACTATGCTAGTGATCCTAGTTTATATACATTTCCCTAGCAAAATTCTATAGCTGATCGACTATGCTAGTGATCCTAGTTTATATACATTTCCCTA